TCATCGAATGCGATACATTCGAAGAGTTCATGCGAATTGTTCGTCGCACTGTGCGTTCTATTGCTAATGTGCAGTATTCATTAATCTGCATCGATATTGTCATCAGAGGAGGAGTAATGCCCATGGAGAAATACGTGGATGAGCATCCAGAAATGCAGATAGTTAGGGAAGCTTCTTCCAAAAACGAATTAGAACCTGTCAACTCTGCTCAATTTGTGCCCATTCAAATATCAGTGATGGCTCCTATCAATCACGAGCAAACAGATGTCCATGATGAATTCGAGGAAAGTACAAAACTCAATGAGATTGTGCGAAAAAAAGACAACATTGTGAATGTGAACCGTGAAAAAAAGCAGAGGAGTTCTCATGGTTTCATCTCTTTCCTTATAGTGCCAATGGTCTTAACGAAGCTCGTTTAGTTCGAATTACACCACTGGACTATTTTCAACAGCGTATCCTTGGTACGGATACTCGTTTTCAAAAGACCGATTATCTCTTCTATGCCCTCTCGATGTTTGAGTTCCATCGCGTGCAGTCCACAATCAACGCTTGTGGCAGGGCCGTTCGCGGACAAGAAGGCGCCGTAGAAGATCTACACCTACATCTCAGAAATCTTAGGGGATCGGCTTCTTACTGGCGTACGGCGCACAACGAATTGGTAGCATTCATTCGTTGCCTAGGCCCTCCAACATGGTTTATGACATTGAGTTCTAATGACCTCAACTGGTTTGATATGCGCAAGGCTTTTCTCATTGCTGATGGGAGACCGATGAATTAAATATTGTTGTCGTGCAACGTTTACTTGAATTATATCCTGTAGGGCTGAGCCGCCACTTTTCACTTCGTGTCAACGCTTTTATGAAGTCAATGACACGCTTCTTGGTGGCAAGGTTATCGATTACTGGTCTCGTATCGAATTCCAGAATCGTGGAAGCCCTCATCTTCATCTTGTCGTATGGATAGAAAATCCTCCATCGTTTGAAACATCGGAAGGACTAGCTTTAATTGATAGAGTGATTTCATGCCACTTGCCTGATGAAGAAGATTCCGACTTACGAACACTTGTCATGCGTAACCAGATACATCACCACACACACACATGCTACAAGAACAATTCGGAGACGTGCCGATTTGCCTTCCCACGCAAGCCATGCCACCAGACCCGTATTGTTCCTCCAAGTTCAGATGAATTCTGTTATGGTTCCCATTGACTGTTGCAAGCATCACCATATTACATGGCTTAATAGGCAGGATTGTCTGTGGATCGGTTCTTGGAATACGTCGTGTGCACTGGCATTCGTGCCCGGAGCTTCAGTTGCGTAGGTTCCAAATACCGCAGCCAAAGAACCAACAATCCTACCTTCCAGTCAATAGTCCTAACGAGAAACTACTATCTTTGCACACACTGGGGATACTGAACCTGAAAAATACCTAATGCCACACACTCAGCGACCCTAGCCTTCTTTCCTTCCTACAACCTACTAATGCCAAGCAGCACAATTATGGGTTAGCTGGCTGCTTCTGTACCCACCCTACCTCGGCTTTGTCGTTGGTATTAAAGCCCCATAGGACCGCCTACATATCCTTCAGAATCAGACCAAACATAACCTTTTACAGTTCCAGATTCATATTCACATTTATTAATATATTCATCTTATATCTAATATAAACAAACTAGATGCGCTAATAATCTCATTGAATACTATCATACTAATATACAATTATTTAAGA